ATGCTAACTAACTCTTACATTTCCAATGAAGATTAAATTAGTCAATCTGTCTATAGTACTTAAAATGATCCCTGGCAAATAATAAGTACCCAATAAATATGAGCAGTTATTATTTTACATTGTTATTGCTATTATTATCATTAGCCTAATATATCCTAGGTGTGCTGAGAATATACAATTAGTAGACACATCATCCATGTTCAAAACATTCACAAGAATTAAAAACAAAAAATTTACTTATTTCATATAGTAACCTCACTCATAAATCCCCAATCTCTCACCAATTCCATTCCTTACTTTAATTTTCACCAATAACATTACTTCTTATTTCACTGAGAAATTAAAAATACGTATATCAGAAGGGAACATTCACAAATACTGCTACCATACCTGCTGATCTACAACATCTGCTGACACATTCTGCATTTTTTTTCTTTCACTGCTTATAAAACTTTCAAGCTGCTATATAAAGCCAATATCCTCACTGGGGTACAAGATTCCAGATTCTCTTACCCACTCAAAGACATCCGTTCTCACCGGGTCATTACTTCTTTCTCATAATCAGTTTCTTTCTCGAAAGAGTTGTTACTCCCAGTAGAAAGCTTCCATCTTTTATGTATTTCTCCCTTCATATAAAGAATACCTGACCTGCCTATCCCAGTACCTACCTCAGCATTCCTTTGTTTCTTTGTTTCACCTCAAAATAGTTATACTAACTGCCTCCAATTATTTCCCTACAATTACCTTTTATACCCAATTCAGTCAAGCTTTCAAACCCACCAGTTTGCCAAATTTCTGTTTCAGAAACTTGTAAATTCAAGCTTCAGTTCTGAATATCTTACTTCACCTACCACCAAGTATTTGAAAACCATTAGTCATGCCTTCCTCTCTGATACACTTCTTTCACTTGACTTCCAGAATACCCTTCTCTTCTGGTTTCCTCCTTACTCCACTAGTATTCCTTCTCAGCACTTGATCCCTTGGAAGTTTAATTTTGTTCGTGTAGATTTCAATGAAATCCTTATCACAATGATTTGAAGTTTATATATCCAAATGCTAATTAGGCAGCTCTGTTTCGATGTCTTATGCACGTTATATGCCCTAAAGTGATCATTCATCATGAAACTTCTTTCAACTCACCTTCCCAATCTCATCTGAGGGCAGCCATACAATTCCTGTAATTCAACTGAAGTTTAGGGTTCATATTGTAGCAAAGGGAAGCAAGGTATAATTGCTGTTAGTTTTACAAAGAGATATAATATAGCAAATCATTAGTTTAATTCTATCATTTTTCAAGAACACATAGGATGTATGGTTTTTGAAAGAGACTTTAAACAGGTACACTAGTTAAACACTTGTGCCTCACTCCAAAAGAAACAGGCAATAAGGTCTAAACTAGAAGAGAAAGAAAAACTAGAAGCTGCAAAGTGGGCATAAATTCCAGAGTTATTCTGGTTTTAGGACTAATTGGAGAAGAGAGATTTTGGAAGTATTTTGGAAGTATTCTTGGAAAAGAAAGAGGGAAGTATTTTGAAATTTACTAGTTCTGTAGATGGTGTCATTAACTTAATCAGAGAAGAGAGAGCAGGAATTTATAGGCAAGCAGATGGACTTTCTGGTTTCAGTTTGGGAAACGTTAAGGTAGATGGATTGGATAGATGATTGAAAAAGTCTGCATACTTGGATATGAGAAATGAAAAACATGTAAGACCATGGTTGTGATAATTAAATTAATTGTGTTACAATTGTGATCATGTATTCTGGAGAGCCATTTTTTCTTATTGGTTGTATGACTTGGGCTAGTAATTTAACAGCATTTTTCCTCAGGATTCACATCTGTAAATTGGAATAATAGTAGTAACTATTGTGATGAAAGCCATTGTGCTTTCTAAATATTTCGTCCATGGACACAGAAAGATATAAAATATGAATAAAAACAAGATGACAAAGTCAGGGACATCACCAGCATTTCAAGAGTGGTCAAAGAAAGGTGACAGACCAGGAGACTAAAAGAATCTTGTCTAATTGGTAGAAGATTACAACAGCTGGAACACCATCTATGTTACTATTACAACCAAAATTGTTACACAAGTAGAGTATTACCTGACGTAAGCCATACATTGTGGTATTGGCTTAGCAGCTTGGGGAAGACAAGACAAAAAGAAAAACAAATAATATCAGAGTCTGGAAAGATGGTGATCATTGATATTCAGTGCCAAGTTATTTAGTTAAACTGTCATTTAATATTATAGGAGAGATAGGTTTTGTGACTGAAGAATTTGTTGTTATAGGAGAGGAGGTTGGAAAACAAAACATAGTTTGTGTGAGGTTCTGTGTTTGGCAAGGTGTTATAAGAAAGAGATGGGCTCATTTGTCAGCATGACAAAAAGTAAAGAAGTAGATTCCAGAAACATGAAAGCTTGTAGTGCTGGAGTTTCTAACTGCTAAAGAAACTAAACATTAAGAGTTGAAGTGAAATAGTCTTTTAAATAATAACAAATTAAAACTAACTCTTATGGCACAGATGAGATTACAGTTGTGGCTTTAACAATTTTTCTTTTTAAAAAAAGTCTATTGATAAAAGACCATCAGGGCAAAAATCCAATCATATATTAGTCTCTTATTGTAGCTTCTGAATTGGAAAGCAAACTCCATGCAGAGATCTGCATTCATTGCACTGTCAAAGAAACTACAATCCTAGCTAAAACAATTCTTTGCCTCCTTATACGTCAAGTAAAAAAATTGGTAATAAATGTGCATACCCATGAAAGACATTGTTTGGAAGATGGAACTAAGTAAAATCAAATAATTTGCACAATAGAAGCACACTGTGGCAGAGAGAGTGGTGTTCTTCAAGCATCCTATATGTGCCCTTTCTTTCCACACTCCTTATTTTATGGGTCTATGAGACTAGCTCTGGACAAAGGGTTGTGGGCACAAATAATGTGTCACTTTGGGAACAATGGGTGGTTGTTAACAGCTATGATAGTCTTAGTTTTGAATGACTATGTAGAACAGGACCCTTCCCACATATCCCCAGCCTCAAATTTACTTTGAATATGGAAAAATACAAGTAAATAAAAGACAGAAATAAATACTTTATTATAAATCTGAAATTTGGTGATTAATTTCCACGGGATTATCTAACACACTTAAATAAAAATACACCTATGTTAGAGGGTTATTGTGAGAAATGAGTGAGTAAACAAATGCAAAGCTCTCACTTGGCTAATTGAAATAATTATATAAATTTTATATATGAATGCTACTATTTTTACTAAAATTCCCAGCTAGCAGAGTGCCTAGCATATACAGTACACACAACAAATGCTATTTTCTTTTTCTTTTCTCTTCTATATATTTGAATTGCCATCATACTCTTAGCATTAATATTTGCCACCAAAAGAATCTACCAAGAGAATGAGAAACTAATTATATCAAATTTAAGAAGGTGACAGTGTTTTACTTTTAGAATATCAGACACCTACTTTCTACTTGTTGCTTTGACCATGAGAAAACATATTCCTTGTTACAAACTGAAATCCATGGAAATAGAAATGAATGAATTAGTCAAATGATTACATGATGTAAATGGAAATAGTGTAAAACTTTATTCCCTTACATGTAACCAATTTATCTAATGTTTAAAACATGTATTAAGAGTATAAGATATCGAAATAAATTCCTCATGTCTGCCATATGTAAGCTATTCAGTTTTCTTTTTTTCTTTTTTTTTTTAATTTATTTACTTTTAAAATACATTTGTCTCTGCCTCCCCCCCACCTCTTTCCCTTGCCCCCTCCCACCTTCCCTCCCTCAGCTCTTCCCCTTTGGTTTTGTCCATGAGTCCCTGCTATATGTCCCTTGACTTTCCCCTTCCCTTCCCTTTCCCTGCCCCCCCCTTCCCTCTTGTCTCTGTTGATTTCTTTTCCTTTCAGTGTTGCTGGTCATATTTTCCTTGCTTCTTTGCATTGTTGGTTAGGTTCCGTTTATAGGTGAGATCATATGGTATTTGTCTTTCACCCCCTGGCTTATTTCGCTTAGCATGATGCTCTCCAGTTCCATCCATGCTGTCACAAAGTTTAGTACTTCTTTTTTTCTTTCTGCTGCGTAGTATTCCATTGTGTATATGTACTGTTACGATCCCCACAAGTATGAGCTCAGAAATTAGAGTTTGATCACACACTCTTTATTATTTGGCCAAGTTTTACCTGCGCAGGGGCCACCTTTCCCTCGAAAGGAAAAAGGCGCGCTGCTGTTAGATTACATGGATTTTTATAAGCAGAGCAAGCAAGCAGGATACAAGGGCAAGAGGTGGCGGTTAGCTATTGGCTGTTTGGTTTTTCTACATTGTTACTGGGGGTGTCACAATTCTTCCATCATCTTGGGGTATTGTTTGTTCTAGTGTGGGTCAACTTGTTCCCCTTAGTCTGCCCATATCCGTATTGTTCTTGCCCTATGCCTCCTCCTTATTCTTGTCGACTCTGGCCCAGCTGCATGGGGGCTGCACCCTGATATGTCTTTCTTGGTATTAGTTCCTCCCTTATCCTCAGCTCTGACCCTGCTTTTACGGGCTGTTTATCTGAGTCAAGGCTCAGTCATTATCCTATCTTGTTACTAAGGGGGGCTCTAATTCTTCCCTTCATCTTGTTCTAGTTTCTTGTTTTCGGCCCAGGCTTGACCTAGTGTTAAAGTTTGGCCCCTTCATTCCCCCCTTTTTCTTGTTCATCCTTTGTCAAATCCTTGACTCAGTGTCTTCTCCTGCCTTCTAACCCTTTCTCCCCTTAATCCTCATCTCGTTCTTCGCCCGTTCCCCACAACAGCCCCCCAAGCCCTCCTTCTCCTCTTCTCCTCAAAGAATTCTGATAAATAAGCTCTAAGTGAAACTATCCTCTCGCCCCATGTTTGGTTCTTTGCGAGTACAGTTCCATCCTTTGTCCTTATCAATACCCATTCCCGGAGCTCATACCCACTTGTTTCCCAACTTAGTCCAATCAATATTAAGAGCGGGTAAAAGAGAGTCGGAGGGGCTTTTCTGGGTCCTGTCGAACTCTCCATGGTTTTTCTCCACTGGGGTCCTGAGCTGGCTTGACGTGAGAGAGGTGTATCCAGTAGGGTTTCTCGGCCACCCGAACGGCGGTCGGGGTGCTTAGCAGTACCTGGAATGGCCCGATCCACCTGGGTTCAAGGCTTCCTCGCCGGTGGTTCAGGATCTATATCCACTGGCCGGGGTTCAGTGTCCTTACTTCGCCAGTGCCACCTCTTTCATTTGCCTCCTTCTCCTCCCTTCGTAGGCTCTGGACTTCTTCTCTGAGGGCCTGCAGTGCCTGTAAGGACTTTAGAAAGTTATGATTAGAGGCCTCTATCTCCTCTCTAGTCAGCTTGGGCACTAGGGGCACAGGCTGCCCGTACATGATTTCATAAGGCGTCCAGCCTCCTGTGTACGGGGTACATCGAGCCTTAAATAAGGTGGAGGGGAGCAATTCTACCCAGTTCTCCCCGAGCTCCTCCTTTAATTTAATCAATGTTTCCTTCAAGGTCCGATTCATTCTCTCTACCTGCCCTGAGCTATGGGGTCTATACACACAGTGCAATTTCCAGGTTATGCCCAATCTCCCGGCTAGGTTTTGGGATATTTGGGATACAAAGGCAGGCCCGTTATCTGATCCAATCGCCACGGGAATGCCATATCTGGGAATTATTTCTCGGACTAGGATTTTCCCTACCGTGGCTGCCGTTTCACCCTTTGTGGGGAAGGCCTCCACCCAGCCCGAGAAGGTGTCTACTAGAACTAAGAGGTATTTATATCCCGCTTTCCCTTTTGACATTTCAGTGAAGTCAACTTCCCAGATCTCTCCAGGGGTATTTCCCTTATGCCTGATAAATCGAGGGCATTTTTGATTCTGTGCGTTTACCCTGGCGCATGTCTGGCATCTGGACACTACGGACTCTATGATCTCCCTTTCTCTTTCCCTGAATGGCTTTTCCCTCCTTCCAATCACTATCACCTGCGCCTCCACTTCCTTCTCCCTACCTGCCTCTCACCTTTTACCTATATCCTTCCCCCTGCTTCTCCAGCTTCCTTTCCTTCGCCGCCTCTTTGGCCGCCAGGTCAGCCAGGGCGTTACCCCTTGCCACGGGGTCACTTCCTCTCTGGTGCCCTCGGCAGTGAATGATGGCTACCTTCTTGGGCATCCACAGCGCATCTAGCAGTTCTAGGATTTCCTGGCGATTCTTGATTTCCTTACCTCCAGCCGTCAGCAGCCCGCGCTCCCGGTAGATGGCCCCATGCACATGGGCTGTTGCAAAAGCATACCTGCTGTCCGTGTAAATGTTGACCGTCCTTCCCTCGGCCATCCGGAGGGCTTGGGTGAGCACGACCAACTCTGCTCTCTGGGCCGATGTCCCCTTGGGCAGAGCTTGTTTTCATACCACCTCGTCCGCTGTTGTCACGGCTGCCCCAGCATACCTGAGTCCGTTGTTTACGAAGCTGCTGCCGTCTGTGTACCAGGTTAGGTCCGCGTTCTCGTATGCCAGGTCCCGCAGGTCAGGCCGCGTTCCGGCTACCACTTCCAGGACATGGGGGCAGCAATGAGTCACTCCCGATTCGGGGACTGGTAGCAAGGTGGCCGGGTTCAGGGCAGTCGTCTTAAGGAATCTGACAGCCAGGGGGTTCAGGAGCTGAGCCTGATATTGAGTCAGTCGTGCGTTGGTCAACCAACGACCAGGCAGTGCACGGAGTACTTACTCGACATAGTGTTCCCCGACTACTTGGATGTCTTGCCCCAAGGTTAGCTTACTCGCCTCCTTCACCAGGACTGAGGTAGCCGCTATGGCCCTCAGGCAGGCTGGCCCTCCTGATGTCACTGGGTCTAGTTTCGTTGACAGGTAGGCCACCGGCCTCTTCCAAGGGCCCAGGGTCTGGCTCAACACTCCCAAGGCCATTCCTTGTTTTTCAGCCACATAGAGGAGGAACGGTTTGGCTGGATCGGGCAAGGCCAATGCCGGGGCCGAGACAAGAGCTTCCTTCAGGGCCCGAAATGCCTTCCGCCCCTCCTCAGTCTAGGCAAACTCAGTCTCTTTCCTCTTTCCCTCCTCCTTTCCTTTCTCATTCCCCTTCTTCACCTCCTTCCTTTTTTCCTTCCTTTCCTTTTTCCCGAATTTTCTCTCTCTCTGGTTCCTTTCCCCTATCTTTCTTCTTCACTTTTCACCTTCCTCTTTTTCACTAGAACCTTCCTTCTCTGATTCCCCTTCTTCGGCTTGGCCTGATTTGGCACCCTCATCTTCTGCAATTTCCTCCTTATGTCCGTGGCTGATTGCGTGACAAAGGCTATGTTTACGAGTCTCCTATTCTCCCTTGCCTCTGGGTCTAGTGGGGTATATACCCTGTATGTCTCCATCAATCTTTCCAGGAATGCGCCAGGGGTCTCGTCTCGTCCCTGCACTACCTCACTCACCTTTCCGAAATTTGTGGGCTTGCGGGCTACTGCCCGCAATCCCCTCAGAAGAGCTCGGCGGTACTGTAGAAGTGCCTCCCTTCCCCCTCCTGTGTTTGGATCCCAATGGGTTGGGGGGGTGGAGGGGAGTATTTCCTCCAACTCCCTTCTTCCTCCCGCTGTCCCTTCTTCCTCTCCCATAACCGCCTTCCCTGCTTCCCTCAGGATCCTTTCCCTTTCCTCAGACGTAAACAAGGTCTGCAATATCTGCTGGCAATCATCCCACGTGGGCTGGTGGGTCCGGAGATTAGCCTAGGAGGCGCCCTAGGGGCGTTCGGGGCCGTGGGCGCCTCTCGGAGCGGTAGCAGGGCAGGCTCTCTAGAGTCCGGAGCGCGCCAGCCTTTTTGTCCCTCACTACTGTAAGAGGTCCCTCCCCAGATTGCTCGGAGGAATCGGGTGCCGCCAGGGCGGGATACGGTGGTGGGGCGTTAACAGGATCTAAGGGGTCCTCGGGCCGGCCTGGCAGGACTGGATACGGCCGGTTCCCTTCAGGTCCCGATGACGGCTGGGGCTCAGCACTCCCCCTTCTGCTATTGCCTTGGGGGCCTCTCCTCTCGCCCGATCCAGCGGCTAAGCACACCGCTCTACCCCTCCTGTTTGTCCCTGCCAGCCCTTGGCTGCACTTCCGGACGTAGCCCGGCCTATCCGTGGCAATATCCGTCCAGACATTGATGTAGATTTGCTGGTCCGGATGAGGCACCACGTAGGTGACTCGTTGGACCGAGAAACAAATTGGCAATTGGAAAGTTCCCTCAGTCGGCCACCCAACATTAAAGGTGGGCCACTCAAGCTGGCAGAATGCTCGGAGGGCCTCCGGGTCGGGCGGATTCCCTCCATAGCGCTCCGCCCGCTTTCTGAAATCAGAGATTGTTTTTCAAGATGCAATCCAAAGGTGAACCCTCGACCGCTCCCGTGGATCCCCCTTGTCCCATGTCTTTACGTATGTGGGTCCAAAGATCGTGACTTATGAGACCGAGGAGGGTCAAGATTAAACACGCGGCCAGGCTCCACACCACTCTCTCACTTACACCGCTCACTCTTCGGCCGGCCTCACACACGCACATTTAGGAGAGGACTCAGACAGACAGGAACGATTAAAGCACTTTCACTTTCGCCCGCCTGGCCTCTCCTCTCGCGAGGGACTTGGGTCTGTCTTAGCTAAGGCTGCCCGAGTAGAATCCGGGTTACCTCCCAGCCGTTATGCCATATGACAGACCGAGGAACCGCAGGTTGGGGCCCACTCAGACTCCGTAGGCTCGCTGTCCCGTGGAGTCACACAGACAGGCACTCGCTCACTCACACGGCACTTTCGCATGCGCTCCCGTACCCGTTTCTCCCCGCGCTGCGCACCAAAACCGACCTCAGGCGACCCTGTCGCGACTCCCGAGGGCGTCCCCTCCTTGGGAGCCCCCTGGGTGGACTGCCGGTGACGTCTCACCTACCACCTCAGGGCTGCAAAGGCTAGCCTTTCCTTCCCCTTAAGAGAATTCTCGGTTTAACTCACCCAACTCGAGCTGGTCCCTTTGATTCCCGTCCTTTTACTCCACAAAAGGGGGAATCTCGCTGGGGCCTCCAAATGTTACGATCCCCACAAGTATGAGCTCAGAAATTAGAGTTTGATCACACACTCTTTATTATTTGGCCAAGTTTTACCTGCGCAGGGGCCACCTTTCCCTCGAAAGGAAAAAGGCGTGCTGCTGTTAGATTACATGGATTTTTATAAGCAGAGCAAGCAAGCAGGATACAAGGGCAAGAGGTGGCGGTTAGCTATTGGCTGTTTGGTTTTTCTACATTGTTACTGGGGGTGTCACAATTCTTCCATCATCTTGGGGTATTGTTCGTTCTAGTGTGGGTCAACTTGTTCCCCTTAGTCTGCCCATATCCGTATTGTTCTTGCCCTATGCCTCCTCCTTATTCTTGTCGACTCTGGCCCAGCTGCATGGGGGCTGCACCCTGATATGTCTTTCTTAGTATTAGTTCCTCCCTTATCCTCAGCTCTGACCCTGCTTTTACGGGCTGTTTATCTGAGTCAAGGCTCAGTCATTATCCTATCTTGTTACTAAGGGGGGCTCTAATTCTTCCCTTCATCTTGTTCTAGTTTCTTGTTTTCGGCCCAGGCTTGACCTAGTGTTAAAGTTTGGCCCCTTCATGTACCATAATTTTTATTCAAATAAACATATTACTATGAGCATGTAAGTTTAATATTTTTATGGAGAACATTCAACTGTGATAGTATAAAAAAAGGATGCTTTTAACAAAACTTTTTCTCAAAGTTCTTAATAAACAATATAAGGCTGCGCCCGGGGTTCCGCAGCGCGCCACTACCTCTGCGGCCCCGAGGGCACCGGGGACGCACCTCTGTCCACCCGGTCTTCGCCGGCGCCCCACCGCCCCTGCCCGTGCCCTATCACTGGATCTGGGAGCCACTTTTCCCGGCTCCGAATCTGCAGAGTAGCGCTCACGGGAAAAGAGAAGATGGCGCAGGAGTGAAAGGGAGTCACGCTGACCTCCTCCCAAAACCAAACTGGAATTGCAACTAAATAATGGAGTAATCACCTGGAAAGCAGTGGAGCGATAGTGGGAGAGGAGCCTTGGTGCCGCGGACAGCGGATTCGACTCTCACACATCCCAACGGGTGAGAATTGCGGTGGAGGCTTGAGAGGGTGGGCTGGGTGCGCACGGGCACTGGCACCAGAGGGACATTGAAACGGCCAGTTAGCGTCCCCCGGGAAGAACGGGGTCTGAATCATAAACAGGAACCCCTAAACTACAGCCGCTAAAGCTGAGAAAATACAGACAAAACACAACCCCAAAAAGCTTAGGGGTGCTCTCTGCCAGAGACAGGTGGCTGGGGATGCAAAAAGACATTTAAAGGGCAAACGCAAAAGTTGCAGTGGCAGCCACCTTCCTTGATCACTGGGTACAGGCGGCAGCAGGGTGGGCTGGTGCCTGGGAAAAGACTGGTGAGGAAAACTTTGTGAAGAGAACTGACTCTGCGGCCGGTGGAGCCCGGGTGATAACGCACTTCCCACTCTGCAGCTACCATCTCGTTCAGGCATAAGGGAATCAATTAACCTGCCTTTTGTGCACTCCGCACACAGCTTGTGCGCGTGTGACCTGCGGGGCTGAGTGCAGACTGTCTGGGAGAGCCTTGAGGAGAGACTGGAGACAGTGGCGTTGGGGAAAGAACGGGAGGAGGAACCGGGGAGTCCCGACTCCCTCCCCGTTCTGTAGTCTCCATTGTGGGCTGGAAAGGCGCGACCCCAAAGAGGCAGAAGCGGGGCGCGCATGAACCAGACTGCCTGCGATTGAAACGCAGTCCGCACAGGGGTTGGATCCTCAGCCGAAGGGGTCACAGAACTGCCCAGAGGCCCCTGAGGGGAGACTAGAAACGGAGGCATTGGGGAAAGAACGGGAGGAGGAACCGGGGAGTCCTGACTCCTTCTCCTTGCCGAAGTCTCCATTGCGCGGGAAGAGGCCACAACCCCAAAGAGCCAAAAGCCGAAAAGCAAACATAGACACTCCCAAAACACCCAGAGCAGGCGCACACACTTGCGCCGAGTGACTGGCGAGGGTTGGCGAGCGTGTGTGTGACCCACGCGGGCTGGCAAACGCTTGCACCTGCCGGCAAGGCCTCACACAGACTGGCACCCATACGGCCTGCGAGGGATTGCACAGAGGGGCAAGGGCAGGCGTAAATTGACCCGCCCGCCGCGATTGCGGAGCAGCCCACAAAATAAGTAGAGCTGCCCAGAGTCCCTGGAGGAGAGACCAGAAACAGGATTAACCGGAGAGCTGATTTCCTCCCATTTCCGTAGTCGCCATTTGGCGAGGGCAAGCAACGCACCCAAAGAGCCAAAAGCGGGGAAAACACGCAATAGAAGACTCTAAACTGACCAGTGCCGCGAAGCTCGCGTGCCAGGGAGGTCAGATGAGCACGGGAGGTCGCGAATAAGCCCCCTGGTCTGGGGAAAACACATGCGAGCCCAGGCAGGTGGGGGACCCTGCCGCGCTGGGAACGCGCTCAAGGAGCTCTCGTGAGAGCGCAGAGAGATCCCAAAAAATAGCCCAGCCCTGACCGAAGGGGTCACAGAGCTGTTCCAAGCAGGAGTCAGACACAGGCATTAGACTCCTAAAAGGCTCAAACAAACAACCCAAGGCCCTATAGGCTCAACAACTGACATCATCAGAGGCAAGCCCAGAAAGAAAAGTAAAGGACAAAAATACTTAACAGACTCTCACAAAAATGGGAAGAAAAAGAAGTTCTCCCCAAATGAGTGGAAAAGGGGACTCCCCACAGAGAGAGCTCAATGAAATAGAGGCAAGGGAACTATCAGATATGGAATTCAAAACAATGGTTCTAAGGAAGCTCAATGAGCTCAGCCAGCTCAAAGAGAACTATGAGAAACGGCAGAGAAACTATCAGGATCTTACAGCAAACTATATCAGCCTGGAAAAGGACATAGAAACTATCAAAAGACACACGAGGATATGAAGAATACCATTTCTGAATTGAAGAACACAGTAGAAGGAATCCAAAGCAGGCTGGATGAAGCTGAGGATCGAATCAGTGAGATGGAGGATAAGGTAGAAAAAAGCTCCCAGAAAGAGCAAGAAATGGAAAAACGGCTCAAAAAGAATGAAGAAGCATTTAGGGAAATGCAGGACAACCTGAAACGCAATAATATCCGTATAATAGGGATACCAGAAGGAGAAGAAGAGGAGCAAGGAATAGAGAACCTCCTCGAAAAAGTAATGATGGAAAATTTCCCTAATTTGAGGAGAGA